TAAAAATCAAGATGTACCTAAATATATATTATACGGCAAATATATAGATGGCCCCTTAAACTTGGTTCCGATTTCTATTTTGACACCTTAACTTAGCTTTCCTATTGAATACTTTAACTCTATTTTGGTCTATACCATTTAAACACAACGCATGACCGGCTAAAGGAGCGTTATGTCCACACATGGTAAGCGGCAAGCGTGTGAATGTTATTAATATTTGCTTAGGTGGATATTCCAACGGTCAAATAAAACTTCACCCGTTAGACCCACTTCAAAACACCCGATTTTTCCATTATTTCTCTCAAAAAGTCGCCATTTTTTCCTTCGTCTTCTTCCCCTTTCAAAGTCGCCATTTTTTCCTTGAACTGAAGCTTAGGTGCCCAAGCTTGAATCTTTATCTGATTTCTTCCTCATCTTTCTCGTTTATCAGTTCCATATCACAAAAATCAACAACTTCACGCAATGGAATGGATATTTGCCACTGTAGATTCAATGCGCCACTGACTATATCATGGTCACCTGCAAACCCAGGTCGTCGATTTTATGGTTGTAAATTGGTAAGTCAATCGTATTGCTTAGACCCTTGAATTTTTTAAAAAAGAAATCTGTTTTAATTTTTTTGGCCACATTTTTTTTTTTAATTTTGTAGGGTCGAGGTGGATGCAAATACTTCAGATGGCATAATGATGAAATGCCCGACAAAGCTAAGAGGGTTATACGGGGTCTGTTGAAGAGAGTTGAAAGAACTGAGAAAATGGTTGCATGGTTGAAGTGGCTATTTGTTGTGGTGGTGGTGGTGGTGTTTCTATAGATTTGGCTTTGTTGATGCTGGTGGTTTGAAGAACAAAATAGTATTTTTATGATATGCTGGTGATAATGGTATTGTAGTTGCTGCTATTAGTTCAAGAACAATGTAGTATGTTGGAAGTGGGTACTAGGAATTTGGCATTTTGTTAATGTACACTATCTTGTTATGAATGAAATGGCAATGACCATTTTTTTATGCAAATTGAAGTTCAGCTGCACTTCCATTTGTGTTATGAATGAAATGCAAATTCGTATTCATGAACTGAAAACATAACTGCCCAAACATATTCATGAATTGAAAACATAACTACTCAAACATTCAATTGCATAATGTGATGAACTAGCATTACATCGAAGCTAAAAAAAAATAGAGCATTGTTTTGGTCTACAAATTACAAAAATAGAGCATTATTTTTTCAAACAAATAACTACCCAAACTAGTAAACTCTAACAGAGCATAATATATCAAATAGAGCATAACTGCCCAAACAAAAAACTAGCAGTGATATATTAGATAACATAAACAAAAGCTGGTCTGCTTCACAGTGTAGATGCATCTGAACTTGTTTGACTTGAAGGGCCTTTTTTCCTTGCTGCATTCATATGCTGAAGCTGTGATCTTGTCACTGCATTTCTTCCTTTAAACTTCAATCCAGGGGGCTTAAATCCAATGTCTATGTTAGTTGCAGATGTATCCTTGAATGTCCCAACTGATATGACTCTCTCAAATGATATACCAAACTAGAAAATACAATAAATTAGTAAAAACAGAACAATTCCAGCCCACAAAACTGTATTACAATAAACTATGCACCCTTACATTCAGGATAGTAGTTCCAGTCACAGTGTCAGTGAAAATCTCAAAACCAGTCTGCCTTGGCCTTTTATGTCCAGTGGTTGTTGCATTAGCCGAGCCTCATCATAGTATAGTTCCTCTTCCTTTTCCCCTGCCTAATCCAAGGCCTCATGTAGATTGAGATGTTGAAGGTTGTGTGGTAGTAGAGCTTCCTATAGCATATGTGAATACACCCCTACCAATGCCAAGTGTAGTTCTTTTTCCTTTTCCTCTTCCTCTACCAAGCCCAGTTGATTGATTGTTGCTTTATCTTTTGACAACACTTTTATCCTCACATATAGATGATGGATTGCTTTGTTGAGATGGTATTTTCCGAGATGATCTTGGTGGAGGTGGTGGCATATTTTGATTTTGTTGAGTAGCACTTCTTGGAACATGCTGACAGAAATAAAAGAAAAGAATATCAGAATTGCAAAAAAAGAATGTACAAGACAGAATTACAAATATGAGAACTTACCATATTCCTGCATCCAGATTTGTTGTGGCCTGTTTGTTGGCAGTTTGAACAAGTTATCTTTACCCCTTTATTTGATAGTTTACCATGCTTTTTCCTTGGTTCATCCTTGATTTTTCTCCTACATCTCTTTGGTCTACCTGGCATAGGTTTAGGTTCCGGAGGCTCTATACATGGATTTGTTGAATCTTGCCACATCTTCATGTTAAGAATTGGTTGAATGAAATACTGGTAAGCTTTAAGGAAAGTTTCCTTCCAACATACAAACCTAACTTATCCTGACCAAATCCTGAATCTCCCACAACTTAATATTTGGCTGGGAAATAAACCTATCTTTATACTTATTGGCAATGTACTTAGAAGTACATAATTTGTTCTTTGTTTTTGGTGTTGCACTTATGAGCTGGATGGTACTTCTTCACAGTAAAGTCACATGAATCCCCATAATTGCTTGCATACAATTCCCAGTTACACTTGGCTCCTTTACACTTAACTCTAACCCTATCCTTTTCATTAGGCCTAATTTTTAGTTGCACTTTGTTCTCCACAGCATATGAGGCTACTGCTTTTCTAAACTCTACAGTATTTTCAAATACCATACCAAGCTCAAAAATAGCAAGGTAACAGTTAGGGTCAAATCTTACTTTTTTACTTCTCTTTCTATGAGGTAAGTCAATACCCCTTTCAGCTAAAACATCTAAGTCATATGTGCTATCATCACTTCCAATATCAGAACTAGTGTAGTAGTCTTCATCCCCTCCTAATTTTCCAGCAAACCTGTCCTCCTTAGATGGCCTACCAATATCCTCAAAGCCTTTATCTATTCCAAATTCTCCGAGAATAATATCTTCAGTTGGAGTAGGTTTCTTTCTCTATTTCTTCTGTTTTTTCTTATTTCTTCTTGCATGCCTTAATGAAGTGAGCTCTTCATTCACATCACTATTATCTTTATCATGAATGTTATCTAATTCAGATTCACTACTCGACAGATCTGATGTCAAACCAACATCTATATTTGTTATTTTTTCAGCCACAAATATGTTATCTGTAGCACTTTCTTGGACATTTATATCCTCTGGAACAGTAGATGTTGCCCTAGACTTTTTATTTAATGTATTTTCACTTGGTTCAATAACTTCTGGCCCACATAAAAGGCCATATGGGACAGTCTCATCAACCAACAAAGGCTCATTAACTCCATGCTTAATAAACAAATCTAAATGATCAAGATGATTAAGGCGACAAACTATATTATACAGTTGTTCATCATTTTCAATCAAGCTAAAGTCATTAGATTTTGGATTAATTAAATAGAAACTCTCTACCTCAGCATACCCCATATCCTTTGTGTAGGACAAAAGCTCAAAAAGAGAAAAGTGGTCCTTGTCTATCATGTGACCATCCTCACCCCTCTCTCATATACATCTCGGATCAGGATCCTTGACAATATGTCCACCATGGTGAAAATCGACAAGAATATATTCGTCTGCAGATATGTCTAGATTTATCACTGTATTGAAAAATCAAAAAGCGAAACAGAGGATGTCAATAGATTCCCCGACCCAAAATTATAAAAAAAAATTTAATTTTCACAAACTCCAATCAAACTAAATTATAATAACCAAAAACAACTATGTTTTCAGTAAATAAAAGCTTACCACAAAGGAAAACTTCGATTGAAATAGTATAAACCGTGAAACTCCAGTCTCGACCAACTCCAGTCATGATTAGCTCCAGTTACGACCAACTCCACTCACCACCACGGTCGAAAGAAGCAAACGATTACCCGTATTAGTAAGATAACCGATCAAAATGTTGACGGACAGTTGAACCTAACTCAAAATAGATAAAAATTCCACCGAAAATCGGTCTCAATGTAGTTCACTAGGGTTTATTAGGCTAAAGAAAGGGAATTTTGGGTGGAAGATCGATTAACTGAGATGAGGTAAAATACGGGTAAGGTAAAAAAGTGGTTTTTTATCCGACCTGAATAAATAAACACGTGTTAGACTATTCTTGGTATGTTATTCCACGTGGGAAGCGTTTAAAAATACGCGCTTAATTTTTACAGCCCGGTCATGTGTTGTGTTTAAATGGTATAGACCAAAATAGAGTTAAAGTATTCAATAGGAAACGCGCTAAGTTAAGGTGTCAAAATGAAAATTGGAGCCAAGTTTAAGGGGTCGTACACCTATTTGGCATATATTATATTTAATTTTGAATTATCGAAATGCCATTTCAAATTCGAAAAAGGTATAAGAAATCTTGACATATGAATATGGAAGAATAAAGAGATGATTAACACATTTTAGTAATACTTGATAAGTAAGTGATACAAGTTACAACCCATTGTTTATAGTAAATAAAAATAAATGCACTTCATAATTCTATTAATTATTTCTCCATCCCACGAGAGCATCTCAAATATTTCTATATTTTAAAGAAAATTCAATATAAAGTCTTAAAAGTATATATAAAAATTATATATTTATATGTCGGTTTGGTTCGAATTTTTTTATTCAATACTAAACCAAATCAAACCAAACCTAGTCGGATTTTTTAATCGATTTGGTTTGACTTTTCGATTTGATGCAGTTTTCCGGTTCGATTTGAACACCCTTAAACAATAATCTCACTTTGAAATATGTTTAAAAGCGTAACCAAATTGTCGGCAAACAAAAAATATAAATGTAAATGACTCCTTAATAAACCCGAACACAAAATGAAAAATACAATATGAAATCAAAACGGTGATACTTTCTATTTTTAGAAAATGCTGATAAGCATTATCTTAAACTCGTGAAGTTTACAGTGACGTAGCAATAAAATACAAATAAAATAAGGGACAATAGCACTTTTAAAACGTGTGTCTTTTTTTTTTTGGTCGGGAAAGATTACTTATATATTAAAACTAAGTAACACGTACAGGGGGTTGGTACTTAGAGTTAGAAGCACCTAAGCTAGTTTCTGGGGCATCATTATCCCCCAGATTTGTGATACTAGGTGGGTGAACAAACCCAGGAGTTGCGGTATTAAAACTATTCCAACAAACAGGCTTTCCTGGAGTACAAAAAAGATGGTGTTGTGGCGCTATATCCTGTGTGATATTACAAAAATCTGTAGTTGCTTGCATGACAGGTTGAAGTGTGCTAGAGTGTTGTCGTAATCTGAGTCTTCCCATTCTATCTTCAGCCAGAACGTCCATGACAAACGGCGGTGGCTGTGCAAAAAAAGTGATACTGCTCCCCGTCAAGCCGGATCCAAAACGAGCTAGTCGATCTGCCACTATATTTTGTTCCCTGTACGTGTGCATAACTGGTGGACCATGGAGCTGGCGCAACAAGAATCTGCAATCATTTATAACATGTGAGCAAAGAGATATGTTGTCATGTAAAGTGTTTATTACTTCTAAAGCATCGATGTTAATTTCCAAAGGTTGTAGATTGAGATGGACAGCCATTTGTAATCCACGTAATAAAGCCATCAGTACCCTTTCCATAGCAGTTGATGCAGTGGTAGTTCCTGCATATCCCATCATCCAATGTCCTGTGGAATTGCGGAAGACTCCACCTATGCCTGTCAAAACATGCATCCCTACACAGGCGCCATCTGTGTTTAATTTAACGGAACCAAGCATGGGTGGTAGTCATTTGATATACATAGGCACTTTTGCTTTTTTAGAGTTGGGAGTACAAGCCGTGTAATAATATTATGTCGCAAGGTGTCGTATAATTGTGGAGTTAGCCAAAATCCTTGTGTTGTCAAAGCTATTTTTGTTTCTTGTTTTCCATATGTGCCATAGAGTATAAGCTATGACGACATGAGAAGGTAGGTGTTTGATACAGTGGCCCTTCGATAGCAAAAAGATTTTGCGTATCCCTTGATTAAGATTATATAATTGAAGAGTAACTAGACCAAGCAATTAGAAGCGCTTTTTTGTTCTCTTTTTCTTTATCTTTACTATTCAGGAGCTAAATTCACCTTTATCCTCTTTAATTTTTTTAATCTTGTTATATAAGTTTGTTGCTCATCAATTTTCTGCTAGTTCAGTTTTTCTTTTGAAATTTCTCTATTACACTTTTTTTCTTTTTTGTTTTGATTCATCAACCCGAATCAGCCAAATTCATTTCTGGGTTTTGATCTACATCCGCCTTTATTATCTTTCTTTATTCTCCGATCTCATCATCCGCCGGAAACTCGGCGTTAACCACGCGGAATACATCCCGCGTTTCCCCTTCCTCCGCCAGCATTCTCACGAATACACCAAAATAACCGGCGTATTTCTTTTTCATGTATTCTGAATCCTCTGCACATAATAGAACTGCAAATTTGCCGGCGAATTCTAGATTTCGGAGAAGAGGCAGAAAAAGTTTAGGGTTCTTCTTTTCATTTTGGTCCATTTTCAGATTTCTTGGTGGGTCTAAATTCCAAAGAAAGCACAAAATATTCTAAGTTTCTTCTTCCTATTTGAACGAGAAATACATAGAGTATTGCTCCACCTCGTCGCAATCCATCACCGCCGGCTAGATTTCCGTTAACTTCAAGGCTTGCAATTCAGATTCTATTATTCCTTTCTTGTCTTGATATTTTAATAGTTTGATATTTTAGAGTAATTGTATCTCCTTGCCTGCCTATTTTGTTCTTGAATCTTTAGTTTGTATTTGCCCTAGCATTGTCAAATTAATTGCATTAGTGATAGCTTTGCCTACCTGTTTATAGTGTTATCTACATGCTTACATCTTTATTTCAAATATCCCTTAGTAGTTCTGTTCTAGTTTTGCACATTTTCTTTGTGACCTTTAGTTGTAGATTATATCCCCTTTTGTATTGTATTTCTCCACCTATTGTAAATTATAGCTCCTTTAGTTCCTTTGTTTTATTTCTTCATCTGTTTTTCTATCCTTTAGTTGTAGATTATAGTTCCTTTAGTTCCTTTGTTTTATTTCTTCACCTATTTTTTTGACCTTTAATTGTAGATTATAGTTCCCATTAGTTCCTTTATATTATTTCTTCACCTATTTTGCGATCTTTAGTGGTAGATTATATTTCGGTAATTTATTTTATTTTTGTCACTTATTTTCGGGATAGTGCTTGCGTAGTTACTCCTAGATTATAGTGGCTTTGGTGAATGATGGTAGGGTAAGGTCTTGTCCTCGGGGATGTTAGCACGGGGGAGGGGGTGCGGGGGATAAGAGGGCTAAGGGAGCTACTAGGCTGAGAGCGGGGTCTTGAAACATAGGAGCTTTGACTGGAAAATCTGTAGAGTTAGAGAAGATTCTCAAGAAAAGGAAGATTAATATAGCTTGTGTATAGGAGACTAGGTGAGTAGGAGATAAGGCGTGGGATGTGGGCAGTTTCAAACTTTGGTATTCTGGGTGGGTGGGGGGCAGGAACGGAGTAGGTATCTTGGTTGATAAGGACCTCCGTGAACTAATGGTGGAGGTTAGGAAGGTGAATGACAGGCTGATGGCTATTAAGCTAGTTGTTGGAGGTTCTACGTTGAACATAATCAGTGCGTACGCACCCCAAGCAGGCTTGGATGAGGAAGTCAAGAGGCGTTTCTGGGAGGGTTTGGATGAGGTGGTGCGTGGAATCCCGCATACCGAGAAGCTTTTTATAGAAGGAGATTTCAACGGCCACATTGGAGCGTCGTCTGGGGGTTATGATGATGTGCATGGTGGCTTTGGTTTGGGAGATAGAAATAGGGGAGGAACGTCTCTACTGGACTTTACTAGAGCATTTGATTTAGTGATAGCAAACTCGAGTTTCTCGAAGAAAAGGGAGCACTTGGTCAACTTCCGGAGTTCGATTACTGCGAGAATCTCGGCACGTATCAGCACGGAACCGGTAATCAACAAATCAAGAGTTTTTTTTTACCTTTTATAGAAATGTACCTAGAATAGGACTTATCTACTATATAAAGGGGGTCTGATAATTCATTCAAAAGACTGTATCACGCATCACAAAGCAATATATTATTATTTCTAGTTCTCATTATGTAGTGACCCAATCGATCATTTTGACTTTTAAAACCCCGTTCCCAAAAAAAAAAAACTTTTTGTATGTGCTTTTAATGATATATGACTTGCGGGGATGGTTGATTCGGGATTTGGAAGTGTTTGGATTGAAATCGGAACACTTGGTTCCTTAAGTTGGTTTTAAAAGGCCAAGTTTGATTTCGGTTAATATTTTGAGAAAATGACCCAGGAATAGAATTTTGACGATTCCAACAGCTTCGTATGCCAATTTTGGACTTAGGAGTGTGTTCAGAATTTTATTTGGAAGTCCGTAGTTAAATTATGCTTGAAATGGCTAAAATAGGAATTTAAGTTTGGAAGTTTGACCGGGTAGTTGACTTTTTGATAGCTGAGTCAGAATCTAGTTTTGAAAATTTTCATAGCTCCGTTATGTCATTTATGACTTTTGTGCAAAATTTGAGGTCAATCGGACTTGATTTGATTGGTTTCGATATCGAATGTAGAAGTTGGAAATTTTAAGTTTCATTAAGCTTGAACTGGAGCATGATTTGTGGTTTTAGCGTCATTTTATGTGATTTGAGGCTTCAAATAAGTTCGTATGATGTTTTAGGACTTGTTGATATATTTGGTTGAGGTCCCGAGGGCCTCGGGTGAGTTTCGGATGGTTAACGGATCTAAAGTTGGACTTAAAACAAATGCTGCAATTTTTCTCTTCTGCTGGAAATTCTGGGCTATGATCGAGCCCAATATCGAGGCCCAGGATTGAGGCCATGATCGAAGGCAGGGCTCGAGGGTCATGATCGAAGGCAAAGGCTCGAGGGCCATGATCGAAGCCACGATCGAGGCCGAGGTCATGATCGAGGGCCATGATAGAACCACGATCAAGGCCGAGGATCGAGGGCTGCCTGGGCAGAATTATAAAATGGGGCATTCGTCCCATTCACCATTTTTTACAAATTGGAGCTTGAGCAGAGGCGATTTTTGATAGATTTTCAAGGAAAGACATGGGGGTAAGTGATTCTAACTCGGATTTGGTCAATATATACGAATATATCATTGTTTTCACCATTTAATTAGTGTTTTGAGATTGAAATTTGAAAAAAATTTGAAATCTCATAGAAACGAATTTTTGAGATTTCGATATCGATTCAGAGTCGGATTTGAGTTAAACTAGTATGGTTAGACTCGTAATTAAATGGGTTGTCGGATTTCGTAACTTTCGCCGGATTCCGATACGTTAGCCCCATAGACGAATTTTTAATTAATTTCGGAAAATTTATTGAAAATGTAGTATTTTCTTATAAAATTGATTTTATAATTTTTGGTGACTGTATCGAATTATTTTTGGTTAGATTCGAGCCAATCAAAGTTGGATAATCGATAAAAAGGCATACTAGTGGATTAAATTGGAGCAAGACGAGGTAAGTCTCTTGTCTAATCTTGTGAGGAGAAAATTACCCCATAGGTAATTAAAGTAATAATTGTTGCTAATTATGGAGGCTATGTACGCATGAGGTGACGAGAGTCCGTGCGTAGCTACTATTAATGCTAAAGTCCGAGTAGTTTAGGACTCAAAGCATGAANAATTTTCTGTTTAAATTAATTAACTATTAAGAAAAATTATTCATCATCCCGAATTTATCTTATAATGAATATACTCTCCTTCCAGAGGTACATTAGAAAATGCCCTCCTTTCTTGTGGAGCGGGCCGAACACTTCGGCAGGATAGATGCATCTATGGACGCGCCGCATGTCCCTCGGCAGTGTACACGACACTCTAAATCAGGGCGTACGACCTCCGCAGAAATCGTGCCTAATAATAATAATTACACGATACTTTTATAGTTTATTGCAGCTTGTAAAGCTAATTGATAAATTGGAAATTTATTGGAATTGAATGAATTTAATTAATATATTGAGAATTATTACATTTGAAGGAATTTAATTATTTATGCTGATTAAATAAAATTATTATTGACTTTGTGAATCATGTTCTGTTAAATAAATTCTATTTTATTCTATTTAATATTATTGACCCTTAATGAGTGTCAAAGTCGGTCATCTCATCTCTACCATTTCGAGTTAGGCTTGATACTTACTGGGTACATGTTGTTTACGTACTCATGCTACACTTGCTGCACTTTTTGTGCAGGATATAAGGCAGCTACTAGTGGAGGACCTATCATCGTACATCCTCGTTATCCATGGGCGTAGTGGTGAGCTTCTTTGCTGGGCCGTTCTGTAGCTACCGATGCCTCTCCTTGTATTTTCATTCTGTATATTTTTATTTCAGACAGTGTTTGGGGTTTTGTATAATCTACTAGATATTTATACACTTGTGACACCAGATCTTGGCACACATATTGGTAGAATTTGGAATGGTATTATTTTCTTGGATTAAAGTTAATCGGTATCTTTTCTATTTTCTTTAATATTGCTAGTAAAATAATAAATTTTCTTAGAAAATTATTTTTAAAATAATTGATATATGTTTAATTTATTTGTTGGCTTGCCTAGCTATAGTGTAGTGCGCCATCACGACCTATAGGTGAAATTGGGTCCTCACAACATGGTATCAGAGCACTAGGTTCACGTGGATCTCACAAGTTATGAGCAGACCTAATAGAGTCTTGCGGATCGGTACGGAGACGCCTGTACTTATCTTCGAGAGGTTATAGGGTGTTAGGAAACTACCTTTCTTCATATTCCATCGTGCAATTGAAGTAGTACTAAATATCCTTCTTTTATTCTCTCACAGATGGTGAGAACACGCTCTAATGAGGTTGCAGACCAGGGAAGAGCTACTCCCCCAATTGCTAGAGGCCAAGGGAGGGATCCAGCCCGTGGTAGGGGGCGAGGACGTTCCAGGACTGTTCCAGTTATGCCGCTAGTGGGTCCAGCGGAGAATCCCATTTTTGAGAAACATGGTGAGGTGCCTGTGGCAGAGCCAGCTCCGGTGGATTTCACATCTGCACCGGGATTCCAGGATGTCATAGGTCGTATGCTGCGGTTCATGG